ATGTCGGTTATCGCGGTAAAAAGTAGCATATGTCTTTCTTCCTCAATAATCAAAGTATCTTCATACATAGATTTCATCTGGATCAGTTTAGCGGTTCTTGATTCCCCATACAAATTTCCACCCCCCTTTTCACCCTCTTGAAGTATGATTTTTGGGATAAAAATTACCCTATGTAATTTCCCGGGACTCAGACTATCTCTATAGCAAATTTTATCTAAATCGGTATAGCGGTTTAAGCGTGAAGAGGTAACAGACAGAAAGACAGATAGACTAACACACTTTCGCATTTATAATATTAGTATGGATTTTTCGGGGTGTAGTAGAGAATACATTTTTTTTACAGAAATCTTACATACTCGTAATGCTAGATTTAACGTTTGGCGTTTAAATCTTATTTTGAACCATAATCAATTTTGGGAATTGCTAATAAACTTTTAAGTGAGAACCACAAAGGCCTTTTTTTTTAAATCAGTGAATATTGATTGCATTTGTGTTTAACCCTCAAACGACGTAGGCCCAAAAATTTTATACGTAATTATATTTTTTAACCTGCTCTGAAACTGCTCGTTATATTTCTAAACAACTAGCTAAGCAACTGATCAACACTTCTCATGACCATTCAACGTAGCCATACTGCCAGACTTCTGGGAACGCTACCAGTAGGCGAAGATGGTCATGAATTTTTTGACGCTTATATGTAACTGTTGTACATTGGTATTTTAATTTAATTTCATTAATATTTATTTTTCTTTAAAAAGACAACTCCCGCACTAGAAATATATCCTGTGTCACGGAGGACTTTACAAACATACACGAAACTGACACAAAGAACACCCAGACTCAGAACAACAAATTGTGGTTCACACAAATAGGGATCGAACCTACAACACACAACGCATTAGGAAGGACGAGGTGACCCCGCTTAAATCACTCCGTCATCTGTGCGAATTAATTTAGAAAAGCGTCCTAATTGTGTTTTCTGTCAATATAACTTAAGTGCTAAATTTAGTTTTCTTAAGCTGATATCGTCCGTGCCAAATGTGACACATATCCTGTACTTTTTAAACCTAAGCAATAGACCAGTGTGGAGTTCCGTTTCTGGAACTATTCGAGGAAATATGCACTCTTGATTAAAATTCATAGATGAGGATCGTCAAAACTATGATCGTTATTTTATCGACTATTGTTCATACATTTCGGGTTCCAAATAAATTTGCAAATGGACATTTTAAACAAATAACATGTTATATTTAATTTATTCGAGTTGAGTTAATGTGGTTCTTTGAATTCACTTAACATGATTTTGCACATGTAGACCATTTGAGTGGACAACCTACACTAAGCGAATGATTTATCTATATCTATAAAAGATGAAACTGATAGACTGATTCCTGATTCACTGATAGATCGATCAACACAGAGCTGCAACCGCTGGGTCTAGAAGTATGAAATTTGGCATAAATGTTCTTTAGGTGACGTATGTGTGCACTAAGAATGTCTTTTTAAAAATCTACCCGTAAGAAACTTCGTCAGTTTTGGTAGTAGTGTTTTCAAACTCACAGTAAATACTCTTTATTAAAAACTATCTGACCCTGCAAACGTTGTTTTGCTATTTACATTATTATTATTTTTTTTTTTTGAATTTCTTAAAATCCGTTCTTAGCTGACCTCCACTTGGTGAAAAGAATATTCCTACCAAATTTCAAGTCTTTAGCTCTAATGGTGCCAGAGATATCGTGATGAGTGACTATATACGTGGAAATCTCATATATATATAAATAATAAAAAACGTTGTTAATAATTTTACAAAACTACCCTTGAAAAGGGGTGCAAGTTTGTATGGGGAACTATTCTTTTTTTAACTTATTTATTCCAAACTCCCAGTACAATTATATTTACTATAAAAAATTATGACCACCGGACCGCGGACGAAGTTAAGGCATTCTCTACCAGTTAATCATTATTTTTCTTTAGTTTAATAAGAATAAACAATCACGAAAAAGCAGATTCAAAGGTAGATCCTTAAAGATCGATTCTACTGTTTATTAATACTCTATGACATATGGAGGAGCTGTGTGAAAATACTTATCGGTTGCTGTGCCTTGAAATCATGTGTGGTACCATTACTGTTAAGGTACCGCTACAGGAAAATACTCGAAAGAGAGAGAAACTACATAACTATAGTAATCATTAACGTATAATGAGAATTCCTCTATAATTGTTGATGAAAATCAAATATTGAGAAAGGCGTAATATTCAGTTATTATCTATACTAATAATCCCTACTCTTTTTTTATGTTAGAGCGGGCAGACGAGCAGACGGGTCACCTGATGGAAAGTGACCACCGCCGCACATGAACGTCTGCAACTCAGGAGTCACAAACGCGTTGCCGGCCTTTTAGGAAGGAGTACGCTCTTTTCTTGAAGGTTTGGAGGTCGTATCGGTCCGGAAATACCGCAGAAGATAACCCGTTCCACAGATTGGTTGTGCGGGGCAAAAATTGTCTCGAAAAGCGCACAGTAGTGGAGCGCCAACTATCCAGGTAATAAGGATGAAAATTTTGCCGTGTGGAAAGATGACGGAAATTTGCGGCTGGTATTAGTCCGGACAATTCCTCGGAGCACTCTCCATGATATATGCGATAGAGAATGCAGAGTGAAACTAACTAGATCTCTACGTAACGCCAACGAATCGAGGCGGTCGCAAATCTTTTGGCTATCGACGATATTCTTATATTCTTTCAGTCTCTTGTTCTGTATCGCTGGTACGACACTTTAAGTAGTGCTTCTCCGATATAGTTGGTACGAAAACACTGTCGCTATTTCGACAATCTTTAAAAAAAAGGAAAAGCGTAACATTATGATACCATACTTATATTATCAATGTGAAAGTGAGTTTGTTTGTTTTTGATAATTCTTTCATCAATGAGAAGCTACTTTATCATCGAGTTACATAGGATACTTTTTACCGCGATAACCGACATACACGAGGGCGGAGCTGCGGGCAAAAGTTAGTGTTATTATAAGGCCGCGGAACTTGTTTGTTTGGTTGAACGCCCTTATCTTAGGAACTACTGGTTCGAATTGAAAAATTCTTAGTGTCGTATAGCTCATTTATCGAGGAAGGATATAGGTTATATAACATGACCCTACGATCAACATGAGCTAAAATAATAATAAAGGGGTTTGTCTTGTATTATGTATCATGTATTGTGTTGTTCTGTATCACTGGTACGACACTATACGCAGTGCTTCTCCGATATAGTTGGTACGAATACACTGTCACTATTTCGACAATCTTTAGAAAAAAAGGATAAGCGGACATTTTTTTTTCGTGTAGAAGTCCCCATGAGTTATCATACAGAGTCTCACAGGGTGTTATGTTGGAATTGGAACGAGTAAAACCCCACGGTGTTCAGTGACATGTGAGTCTATTACAAGGAATTCGGGATAGCTTAGAAATAAAGTCTTTGACTACGGGACATCTTAGCCCCCTTAGGGGGCCACACGTTGGAAATCAAAATTTTGCCCCAATTGAGAAATAAATATTAAGTTGTTTCTCAATGAACAATTTAATAGTTTATTTATATTATTTCAATTTGTTTAATATTTAATTTATGTGAATGGTTTGATTTTCTTGCTAAATTAATATCTAAAAAAAACATTTAAACAGTCTAGAATTTAAACGATTTACGAGATAAAAATTTATAACTTAATTTGCATGAATAAAGATCATCAATCATAGAAATTTGAATATTTGCGTATTATGAGCATTCCAAATTTAGATACATAAACTTTGAATTAATTTAATTGGATGAGGAAATTTAAATATTTTGTGCTTAAATTGTGATTGATAAATCCTTACAGATTCTAATGGAATAAATGAAATCCTGGGAATATAACTAATGATGAGCTTTTATTTCATAACATAACAGGTTTTATTTCATATAGAATAAGGAGATCGTATCGTATACAATTTTAAAGGACTGTGCATACCATGTCTAATGAGTGTGTGTCAAATAAATTAAATATAGAAAAATTTATACACATAATGACAGGAATATGTAAGTAAATTGGCTTAAAGGAGGATGTAGTAAGTATTTAAAAGTTAAAAAGCTATATAGGGAAAATATAAGTGGAATAGTCAACTCACGTCAACCTTAAAAAATATGCTTACTTAATAAGCAATACAGAAGTAACGTCAATTAAAAAAAAAGCTGTCAGAACTACATAATAATATTATGAAGGAATGTTATATCTGATATTTTGTTTCTTTTTACTTTCATTATATAACAAAGAGGGCACTATAGTATTTTTTAAAGTGCACAACCCCGTAGAGGAACTCCAGACACATATCACTTGGGTGTTAAATCTACTTCATTAATATCGAAAAGTCGAGTTAAACCAATAGAAAAATCTTGGTGTCATAACATACTCGGTGAACATAATTCGATTTACTTCAGAACTACTAACACTACGACGTGTGAAAAAAAATTAAATCTTAGACTGAGTAACACACACATAGATGTGAAATAAAGTAATCAATGCAAAAAATAATAGACTAAGCCAAGGATCCATCAAAAATGATCTTCTGTATTTACCTATACATATTCATATATATGAATTTCCTAAACTATATAAAAACTATGAACTTTACAGAAGACTGAGATTATAGACCACCAATGGTAAACAAAATCACTAGAAGAATGGGGGATGTAGACATTATTTTTTGCAGTGGTGAACATAACATCGAAAAATCCTTACCACTCCAATCGACTTTTTTCTGTTCCTGATTTTTACCCAGAACGAAAAATAACCAGAATAGATTCCTAGATTAAAAGGTATACTTTTAATCTAGGAATCTATTCTGGTTATTTTTAACTTAGGAAATTAAATTTAATTTGGAACCATCTTGTGTATCAATATAATTTTATTACGTTAAATTTATAAACTATTCAATACTTTTATGTTATGATGTCGTAAGGAACGTAATTGTTTACCTGAAAAATCTCTATAGAAACTTCTTTTAATCTTCGCTGGAACCATTCGTTCAACATGATGACAACTCAAAGATTCCCTTCCCGCCGCACCTAACTAAAAATCCGATATCCACTTTTTCCGATGACAATTTATAACACATGATATTTAACCATGACCTCACATAAATAAATAATTTCTTCAAAAATAGATTGACGAAAATAATAAAAAATCAAATTCGAAATTTCACATTTGCATAAAGTGATGTGAACGCATTTAAAGTCAGCGTGATCTGTCAAAATACTATTTTGGTAATCCATAGACAATCTAGATGGCCGCCCAACAGTCAAATTAAAAGTAAACGTGATTTTAGATCATAAAAAGGCTACATTTGATAAAAGGTTGTATTACAAAATAAAACTTACGTTTCACACCTTCGGTAAGACAAAGGCATAAATGATACAAATTAAAAACCCAGTTATGAAGAGAATCATATTATACTCATACCAATCATATCAAATAATTATACGACATTAATTGAAAAATAAAAGATTAAAACCGACTCTCCTGTAGAATTGCAAGTACTAGAATTATGTCTTTGTCTTACCGAAGGTGCGATGTAAGGAAAATCTTGTAGAGGTGTTAGTACAAGATTTAAAATAAATTTAATTTGTATTTGTTTTAATTTTTAGTCTAAAGAACTGAGTTGCATTGGAAATAGTGTGTTAGTGTCTTAGAGCGTGCAGTGCTTATAGACGTTTTATTTTGGTATATTTAAAACAGGGTTTCCTTTCATGTTTTAGACTATCAGACTGATTAGAACAGAATATTTTACATAAACTCATAGCTTTTGAGAATTTTTATAGTGAAGATGTTAACTAGAAGTAATTTAATTATGTCTCTACATTAAGAAGATTAATATAAACGTCACAATATTACCAATTTAAGGAAGAAACAACTAAATTATCATGACTTTTAATAAAGATTATATTCAAGACCTTAAAATCAGATGATAATTATATTTAAATGAAAAGTTTTTAGGTTGGAAGAATCGTTGACTCTTATACCTTGAAGTCAATCCTAACTTCAATATTAAACCCTAAGCTTTAACTGCCGCTGGTAAACATTAATATATAAAGCGTAATACAATAAAATGTATAAAACTTACCTTTAGCTTACTGATCGTTTGCTGATACACCGCTTAATCTGCAACAAAAACAAAAATTATTAATAAAAATACTCATGACTACAAAAGACAATGCCGCACATAAAATCTACAGTCAATTTTATATTTTTTAATATTTTTTTGCATCCTAAACTAATGATTAGTCTGCATTTGACGATAATTTAGTATTTAGATCCGATGTTTAGGCCTCAGGGCTGCAAGCAATGGTTTTCGTGACCTAGATCTTTTTAAACACATCACCAAAATGTATTGAGCTCCTACTAAATTGCCACCGTCATAAATATTTCTGGATAATGGTCCTTATATGTATTCATCATAAGCACACGTGTCCATCGTCAATTAACTGAGCTAAAGTTCTTTTAATATTGGTCAGTAATATCGAAATTACAACCTGTCATATTGCAGACACGATCATGAGGAACAAGAGAAGGTCATAACAAATAATTGTTACCACGAGCTTTAAAAAAAAAAGTAACTTGAACGCAAAAAAATAATAGATAAAATAATAAAATTTGCGTATTACAATATTGCGCTTTGTTTTATGAAAAACATTACATATACTTTTAATAAACATTTTTTTTAATTCTGAACTAAATTTATTTCACGTGATTTATTAATAGTATTGCAGAAAAATACGGTCATAGGGCCGTAAATCAGAGTTTTTTATCGGCTGCGGTAGATGCTGTACCCGGCCTCTGAGTGTCGTTACCTATTCGTTTTCGTTTGTTACTAAGTTTGGTAACTTCATGAGAAATCGTTTATTAGAGGCGATAAATCAATAAACTTAATTTTTTCAATTCCAGAACTTTGTTCCTTCTGCCTTGTGCAGTAGCTTTATAGTTTTTACACCATCAGCCTAATAATATAGCTACTCCTATAAATTTCGATGTATCCAAATCAACTTATATTTTATTTTTATCAAAATCTTCTAAACTAAAGAACCTATCTTAGAAAGCTTTCATGCCATAGCCTTACAGAAAGCCGGTGTTATGCAATTATTTCTTAATCTCTTCTCGCCCTGATCTGGGAGGTGACCTCAAAGGGCTAGACTATTGATTTGCAGGCATCCATGGGCGACGGTAAGCTCTTACCATCATGTGACCCAACTGCTCGTTTGCCAAGGTATGCCAAAAAAAATGCCACCTAAACATTTATGACGGATTTTATTAAAAACCAATGTTATCGAAAAAATGCAATGAATGAATAAGTATTTGTACGATTTTTTTTGATAATACTTATATAATATTCTATACGTAAACTCTTTATCGCGGTTATACTAATGTTATTTGTTTTGGTGGTATTTGCCATATGCCTGGTACAGTGTTACTTCCTACGTCAATAATTTTACGTCAGGATGATAACACTTGTATATAATGATTATTATTATCAGATTTCAAAACAACAACTTTGGTATCTTTCTATATTTTGATGTGTTTTTCATAGAAGGTAAAAGAAACTCAAGTCGTTACCCGTACATACTTTGCCGGAGTGCTCATAACAATTTCAACGGTTCAAGTTAGAAAAAAACTTGCAACTTAAAATATCAGCCCATTTTACGATTTTTTAAACATAAGTTTTTACAGGAGCTCTAACTATTACAGGAACTATTCGTTAGTGGAATGCACTGCAGAGCAAATCAAGACAAACTCATACCTGCCACTTGCTCATAGAAATCGTAATAATAAAACACTGTAGACCCATAATAAGACACTCTTATTATTACGATTTCTATGCTTTTGCTCTTTCCGTACTTTTTATATTTATTTTTATCTATACGTGTGCGTATACATGGAGATGACATATCGATTTTACCATATTTTAGATCTCGTATAAGTTGTCTATCCATACTAATATTAATAATGCGAAAGTGTGTCTGCCAGTCTGTTTCTCTGTCTGTTACCTCTTCACGCTTAAACCGCTGAACCGATTAAGATGTAATTTGGATACTGATAGTTTGAGTCTCGGGAAAAGATGTGGCATAGTTTTTATCCCAGAAATAATCCTTTAAGGGGATGAAAAGGTTGGTAGAAGTTTATATTTGAAATCAATAACCGCTGAACCGATTTTAATGAAATTTGGCATGGGGACACTTTGATTCGTTAGGAAAGACATAGGCTACTTTTTATACCTAGCAAATGATAGTTTTTTATATACATAACCTATTACGTTATCCAGCTACCGCTTGTAGTCGTCTACTAGAAGACATTTCGTACAGGAAAAAGTTTATTGGTATATTAAATACATTCAATAATATTTTCTCTAAATATTGTTAATGATTTCATATTGTACTAATTGATTAAAATTATGAATGAGCATAAATTCGTAAAGAAAATAATTGTCCATCTATAGCTAAGAATAACTCAGTTCCAAGAATTCACCGACAAATGTTACGAGTCCTTTTTTACGTACATCCGTTAAACATAGGTCAATATTATTGTTGTATAAAAATAGATCATTACATTCAGACATACAACAATTAGTTATATTTATAATATAAATGTAAAAGTCAATTTGTTTGTTTGTGACGCTTACACGCCTAAACCACTGAATCGACTTTAAAAATTCTTTTTAAAATGGAATGTCACATTGTCAGCGAGTAACATAGACTATTTTTTACAGCGAAAACCGACATATTCGCGGGCGAAGCCGCAGGCAAAAGCTAGTTTGATCATAAATTTGGTAATTTATGATCAAAATAGCGCTTGGTCGCTTATTACACCTTTATGGTTAAATCATTAACCGTGGGAGAGCCATGGCATCATAGAAAACCGCTTTTAAGCGGTTCTTTTATTGCAATGAAAGGTCCACTTGTGTCTTTTGATTTACATGTACCAATGGGTGAAGGTCACTTAGCATCAGGTGACCTGTCTACTCATTTGCACCCTACACAATAAAAAAATACCTTAACTTGAACACACTCTTAACATTACACTAAATTTATCTTAAATGAAACCATAGCTTAAACAAGTGCTTTTATTTAAATGTACCTATTTTGCATTTTATTAAATTACTATTAACTGAGATAGTTTTGTCAAGGATCTGTATTAATATTACGCTTTCAAATCTGCATACGATATATTAAAGTAGCTGCTAAAAATGACAAAGCAACGCATACATTTTCAAATCTGAAACGCGTAACGAACTAGTATGAACCAGGATTTCCGATGCCTTCAACTCTATAAGCAATCAGAGCACAGAGTGCTTTATGCGTAAAGCCGATTTTTTTACAACATCATTGTTCTAACTCAATTAAGGAATAGATTAACAAAAAGTGAGTCCAAGAACCTGCTTACGGATCTTGTCTGGGGAGTCAGTCTGCACGCCCATTTTGCCGTTGTCGCTTTCCGGCTATTGTTGAGCGTCCTGTCACCAACATGCATGCGTTCACGTACACAGTGTCACAACGCTAGAAATTATTATAGAAATTTACGCACACTCATTCAGAGGGCCTAGTATGAGTTTGTTAGACATATACTCGATCGTCACGGTGACCGCGTTCGGTGTTGCAATTGGCCCGCACTAAACTCTTCACCTATCGCAAAGTCGAACGCGCTCGTCGACGAGAGCGAGTTGTTGTGAAATAAACGCACACTAGGCCGTCTGTGTTAAGGCATCGATCACTTACAGATGTATAATTGTGTGTAATGTAACCAACACAAGCGAAACTTATGAATGAACTTGACGTATTGAGAATAGACCTTGAGTGAGGTTGTCATCGAGACGTTTACGTCCAATATCGAGCAATGGAGTTCGGAATAAATATAGCTTTACGATTTTATAAACAGGTTGTTTGTGTTTTTTCTTTTATTGGAGATTTATTAAAATTTATTAACTATTCTAAACATAATTTTATCCAACATTTGTTTTAGTAAATAAACTTTGA